TTCTCGCCGACCGTGGCTGAGGAGAGGGAAATGAAACGTCATCATCACAATGACATTTAGAATTTTGCGAATGAGGAACAACTTTTAACTTTTCATTGATAAACGGTTATTAAAGATAATAATACTAATGATAATAAAATGTTAAAGGTGAATTGAATGAAATTTAAACAGGCTGAAGAGTTTAAAAGTGAATGCAGCTACTGGACATGCATCATCAGTGTACACTGTGTGCTCTAACTGTATGTGTGGAACACAGTGCTACACTTTAGGTCAGCATGGTAATCTCAGAGGCTATTAGTGATGCACCTTCTGCAATAGCAAACAGTAAACCTCTTATCTCCAAAGAGAATGGAGGACTAATCCTTCAGTATCCTCTGAAACGAGCTTTTGTCATCACTCTGCTGCAATACGTCTGCACCGCTCTTCCTTTTGCAAATGCAATATGACAACACAGCATAAATTTCAGCACAGCACGCAACAATGGCCTAATCTAACAGCCATTCCTCAAATGCTGTGACATACGAAATAGACCAGCTGAGACTGCCACTCACACCAAACCTTCCATGTGACAAGGAACATCCACCTGTGGAATCATTTGCTGACCAGACTAAGAAAAGCTTTACTCTTAGATTTGACTTGATCAGTTATTTGGCCCATTTCGTCCAAAGCCTTATGGCAGCTTACTTTGGGATTAGGTGTTAGGGTAGCTGAGGTGGGGAGTTGCTAATGATTGCCTGTGATTAAGCTTTCTTCTCTTTGGACTGGCAGCAGCTGACGAAAGAGGTAGAAAAATACAGCAGGCAAGGAAAAAAACTGAGGGATTAAACAGAGCAGCATTCAGAGATTGTGCACTTCCATAGACTGATTTAGTTTCCACTTTTACTGCTTATTAAGAATAAAAAAGATTCAATCCATTTATTTTCATTGAATATTTCTGCAAAAATATTAATACATAAATGTTCCTGTAAACTTTGTTGGACTGTGCACTCTTTCAGCTGTCCAAAATGCTGTAATGCATGGTTTTTAAGATCTCACATCTGATTTATGCTACGGTTTAATAGCCTTTTCACACACACACACACACACACACACAC